AGAAAATACCATGAAGAAAACCACCTTAAATCAAAGGAGTAAAGCAGGACAATTGCAGATGTATCTGTAAAGCCACTTCATAGCCCTGTTGGCTAACAGGGAACCAGTGAAGCAGCTGCTGAGAGGGAGTGATTGCCCTTACACTTGTTGCAGAAACTAAATTTATTTTTCTCAGGTGTTAAAATAATTATGCTTGAACTTCCTTTAAGTTCTGAATTTGTCAGGAGTGGAGATGGATTTTTGACTGCAAGCCTCAGCAGTATATATTATTTTTCATGAATGCCACATGGTTATGGGATAGAGGCAGCTGACAGTGAATTGAGTAACAGATGTTCAGGACTGGTATTGATGGCTATTGTGAACTTGATTTCTATGGGCACTGTGAAGAAATCAATGGATGGGGGGTTGACGTTTGGGATACAGGCTTTAAAAATGCTTTGTGAAAACAGTAGCATTAGAGAAAGGTTTGGAAGACCTCGTGAAATCACAGGCTCAGGCACTATAGTGACAGATGGAATGCTTGTCAGGTGCTCAGCAACATGCTGTAGGGAAGACTAATGTTATCCAGTCAGCTGTAACTTGGCTATAAAGCTCAAGAAAAGACCAAATGTATTTTTTAATGACTCAGTAAAATTATCTGCTCAATGGGAAGCAGTGATCAGAGGAGCAAACAAACTTTGTATGTAGGTCACTCTGAAAATGAAGGATGTGTGAGAAGAAAGCAGGCCTGTTTCTATTGAAGAGATGCAAGGAGTCCTGACTGATGCCTTTGAGATGTGTGCTTTGAAAAAGTCTATCTGTTTTTCCATTTACCTCTCCCATAACACACAGACAAAGCATTTAAATAGTCTAGAAAGCAGCATTTTGCAGTTGTTTTCTTCTTTTTTTGTTGCCTGAGTTGTGAAACAATAAACCAATAAAACTTGTCATTGTCGGAAGTCAGCGAGGGAAAAAGAACTGTTGAATTTTTGGTCTTTTCTCTGAAGCACTATTGCTGGGTGCAGTGGGAAGAAGAACCATAGTGGCTCTGAAAGGACCACAGCCTGCTTTGAGCGTGGTGATTCCTGTATTTCAAAATCCCATCTGAAAGCACAGGGGATGGTATTTCTATTAGTGTTGCATGCAAATCTTTGTACCTACTTGAACTTCCCTGAATTTAGTGCACAGGGCAAATGTTTATTTACGGAGTTGCAGACTCATAGCAGTTGGAAGGGGTCTCTAGGGATCATTGAGTCCAACACCCTGCTAAATAGGATCCCTACAGTAAGTTGCACAGGGAAATTATCCAGGTGGATTTTGAATATCTGCAGAGGAGTCTCCACAGCCTCTCTGGACAGCTTGTTCCAGTGCTCCGTCGCTCTGACAATAAATAAGTTCTTCCTTGTGTTAGTACTTAGTGTATGCGTGTCCAACCCACTAGATTTATGTTTTTGTTGCCGCCTTTCTTTTGTTTTAATTAAAAATTATATAAAAGTTTTATTACCTGCATACATTAAGTATATTATATATTTTATATGCTGTCCAAGACAATCTCTTGTCACTCAATGCGGCTCAAGCAAGTCAGAGGATTGGACACCCTTAAAGACATTTATTTACTTACCAGTCCATTCAGCACTGTGCAAGTTCTTACTGAAAGACCTTAATATCAGAAATTTTTATCTTAATACAAAGTGTCTTTCTTGGAACAGGATTTCCTTAAACTCTACACGATATTTATGCTTTATGTTTTCAGGTCGATATTATTTGTTTTACTAAATTGGACGAAAGCCTCACAAGGTATTAGGGCAGCAAGGTGCTCAGTTTTTAAAAGCATATCAGTAAAGATTGCAGGTTGGGTCTGCTGTGTAGGAACTCGCATTAATTTCCAAGTACCAGCATTTGAGTGCAATTGATTTTTAATTTTTGTAAGGATTTTTTTAGAAAAGTGATCTGTTCTCTCATGCTAGAATGAAATGGAGGCCAAAGATGGTATGTTTTAGAGATTTGAAAAATATGATATCTTACTTGAACTTATCTCAATGCTAAGAGTTTGACAACAATTTTACTCCTTGCATGGTGTACACTCACAGATATGGTAAGGGCATGTTATTGTCAGAGAGCTGTCATCTGATGCATTGAATTGCAGTCAGGGCAAGGATTCCTTGCTGCTTAGGTTCTTGGAAAGCTTGAAGGCCATTAACATTCCTAGAATTGCATGCATCATAAACCATAGTGCAGCAAGATTAGAAGTGAGAAATACATGAGTATGTATTTGTCACCATTCCTTCACGTATGTTAAACTGCTATTGCAAAGTATGCCAAAGCAATTAGATACTAATGCTCTTCACAAATGTTGGGTGTTGGTTTTTTTTTTTGGTACTCTGGGCATAAGATTCTCTGGTGACCACAATCGCTCTATCCTGCTTCTATTGGCCAATACTGAAAGAACAGAAAGTAAATGAAAAGACTTGTTTGCAGCTTCTCCTGATCGTATGTGTACTAGCTGCTCCCACAGTCCCTGCAGTGCTATCACACAGTGCTGTTCTGACTTGCATAAAAGGAGAATGAGGAAGCCAAAATAAAAACATGATAGAAGTTATTAATTTTTTGATGTCATAGAATGGAAAGAATCGTGTCACCTAAAATTCTGGTGTGGTTGTGATCAAGTATGTCATTCATATTCAGTCACTACTCGATACTAGGTATAGAAAGAGCTGTCCTGAGTACATTTGGAAATTCACTGTCAAGCAGTGACGGTGCTTTCTCAAAAAGCTAAATTCTCTGAGAGGGAACAAAAACTCCCTCCTTCATTAATGCATTCAGATACCTAGAAGATCACTGCAAAGCAGAAATGAATATTATATTTTCCCATTTTGATAGCAAAATAAAGAGCTTGAATTGCAATAAGATAAATTCTGCTTAGTTTTGGCTAATGCCTAATTAGGGATAATGTACAGCTGGGGGAGTGTGAAGTCTTTGTCAGTTTGGATTTTAATAACTGTTGTAATTGGCACCTGTCACCTGGATCTGATCGTGCTGTGGTGCAGGAGAAATGGAAGCTCCCGGAGTCCCTGCAGTTATTATTTCTGTGATTCTGTGATTACCAGATCCGTGATCTCTGGAGTTGTTCACTCAACCGATCTCTGAAGTAGAATTCTGTGATGATTTACAAACACAGACACAAGTGAAGACACTAGAGAGAGAAAAGTGCTCATAAATTTAAAGAGATTAAGAGAATTATAGCCATTTTGATAGCTGTAAGAAATACAGTGAGATTGCAAGAACAGTGTTAAAGTAGTTTAGCCTGCACTTAGGTGCCAGAATGTCTGCATATAAGCCTTGGAATCATTATTTCTTTTTGCTGTACACAGCTAATGCTTACAAAGTCCAGCTGTGACAAAATTGTCTCCTTTGTTTAATGACATCTAGACAAATTCCTGGAAGGAGATGAATTTGAATGTGCATTTAACATCTGTTGAAGATGAGGAAAAGAGTCAGTCAGCCTAAAACATGGGGTAGTTTCATAGGCAAAATTAAAAGGTTAGTGCTGTTCTTTGAAACAAACATATTTGCAGTATTTAAGCAAGTCATGTGGGCAGAGGAATGGCTTCTTTTTACCACTATTTTCTGTCAGTGACATTTATTGTAAGCCTGAGTAGGGCACAATGCTGCACAATTTATTGTGGTACCAAGAAGGCAGCTTGGTGGCTTAAGCTCCTCTAACGTATTACTTTTTGAGAATGTTGCAAAAAACATATATCAATTTTATCACGTCACATTTCAGGGTGTAGGCTGTTATAAAATAATCTTGAAATGATTTTCTTTTTGTATGATAAGATTTGAGAGAGGCTTTCTGGCTTGAACATGAAGTCCATGCTATTTTTGGTCAGCGTTATCTTTGAACGTTGTAACTCTAATAACAACTCCTGGTGCATGAAAAATGGGTAGTGTTCATTCTTGGCCGATACTTTTGTAAGTCTCATTAGAACTGTGTGACTGCACAACAAGCTCCATATCTCCTATTACATGGCGTGGCATGCTTCTCCTTTGATTGCAAATGTTTTCTGTCATCCTTGATTAGGAACTGAATGAGCATATTATTGACTGCTAAAGCAGCATACTGGCACCAAAAACAGTGTTGGAGTTGGATGCAAGCTTGTTGAAATGTAGTTACTGACAAAGCATTTTTTCCTTTTAAATTAATAAAAGAATAAACCAAAAAAGGAAACCAACCAACCAACCACCACCAACATAAAAAACCAGCAAAGCAGAACAAAAAAAAAAAAAAAAGCCAAACCCACTAAATTAAAAAAAAAAAAAAAAAAGATAATGCTACAGAAGAGCAAGATTTATAGCAAGAATTATAGTTTTTGTACTTCTGGGTCATGTGAGAGTAAGCAACCACAATCACAGGGAGAACAGGAAGGTAAAGGAATAATGCTTTGAATAAATACAGAGAAGGGAGAGTGAGCGAGCTAGAGTTGGTGTTCACATTCGTGTTGTGAGCCAGCACTGGCAATGTACCACAGTAGATGGAAATGTTTCAGCAATTTACCATATAAACAACCAAACAGCCCGGATTTATCTAATCAGCTTTTTGTGATAAAGCATGTCCAGGATCCCTTTTTCCAAAGCTAAAGGGATTGCAGCAGTGACAAGATTAGGAATAGTGTGAGCTTGTACCCAGAAATATGGATGTAGTTTTATTTTTCTTTGACCATTTGCCCTTATGAGAGAATAGATATTTAAAAAGGTACAAAGGAACATAGCAGTAAGAAATGGGCACTGCTTCAGCAATAGTTAATGTTGGCATTCTGGAAAGCTTTCAACATCAGGGAAATTCTTTTTTTCCCCCATTTCAAGCTGAGTGCTGTTACTCAAGATGAGCTGGCAGAAGCTTTCTAAGTAGCATCAGACCTTGGATGAAAATGTGTCCATGGGAAACGAAGTAGGAGAGGAACTGGTACAGATTTCTTCTGCCATGTACTACTGAGTGACTTACTGTTTGTTCTACTCTTCAGCACCTACGGGACTGCAGTTCTCATCTGCTTCTCGGTGTTCTGGTATTTCTGAAGAGAGGTGTGTGACTGTCAGCAGTACGTATCTGGATCATGACTCACCTTGTTACACTACAGCTGGGCTTTGTAAGTGCTCCTCTTTCCCATGACACACTGCTGTATGTTTTCAGCCAAACAAAATGGTGTAGACAAGTGAATGTGAATGTCTGCAATAGAACAGACACATTTGAAGCCTTTTTTGTTACAGAGATATAAGAATCCTTCATATTTTGCTTAGTCTACGGACTTGTCTTCTTCCATCTCACTCCACCTCCAGTCACTTTCAGTCCTTTTATCTTCCTCAACAGAAAGAAACGCTGATAAATATTGCTGACCTTGTTAAGGATGACAACTGTCATGAAGAGAAGTGTGAGAATGGTTTGTGTCAACATCTCACAACCCTGTGCATTGCCATAAAGGTTTAAAATGCTGTGGTTTTTGTGTTTGTATGTGTTTTCTGATTGCTGTGAATATGACAGGTCATTACTGTTCTTTAGAATAGCATGGGAAAGTTCTCCTGTTTTCCTATGAGCTAACAGACCCTTCGTAGTGATTCTGATGGCCTCACAGGTAAGGCTACTAGAGAAAGCAAAGCAAAAGAGATAGCATCTCAAATGCTTTTGGATTCTATGTAGGGAAATATTTCCAAGGGAGTGTTAAAAACATGGTGAAGTAATAAGACCTGTCAAAGACCTGTCTGGCTGCAGCAGGAACAGGTAGGGTCTTCAAATACCTGCATTCTGCAGATGGGCTGGATGTCCTGTGGAACTTGATGAAGAACAGTTGAGTTTGTTTCTACAGTTGCTTTCTGAATATTTAGGCAATACCCTCCACTGAACAGCACGTATGCAGAACAGACCCAAGACAAATGCCTTTTACGTACTAGCCTACTATACTTCCTAGTTAAAAAAGATTGTCTCAACAGACAAATCACTGCTGAAATAAAGGATTTAATTAATCTTGAGCTAATTTTGAACAGTGCAAAGAATACTAAGATGCAGAATTCAGCAAGGTGCAGTAGTTTCTGACAGAAAGATCAAGTGAGCAGTGCAGGAAGTCCTTACGTTTATTTCATAGATCATACCAATGATTTCCACATCATCATACAACATCACTTAAAAATATAATGTTTATTTAAAGATTAGCTACAGTTTTACCAGAAGGATTTTATTTCTCTGTGCCTTACAGAATACGTGCAGAAAGCAAAGTCAGCAGCCTAACACCTAATTCAATAGCCCTTGGTTTCATGTCTTGATCACTCAGCAGCTCTATAGAACTGTTTACCTCTAGGTTAAAAAAAAAAAAAAAAAAAAGCCTCATCTTAGCAAATTTGAAAGCATTTTATGAATCCTTTGGACAACTAATTTTGCAAGAGATGGGCTTTTTCTGAGGGAGGTCTCAAACCTTTTTAGCAACTCAAGTTCAATATTCTCAGTTTTTAACAGTAGAGATTTTAGCACTTCTTATAATTGAGATTCTTAAGGTAATTTGATATTGCTGCCAAAGCCTAAACCAGTATAAATCAGAATTAATCTGATTAGAAGAACCTGAAGGTCCTTTTGCTTACCATGAAACTGCCTGCATCTGGTTTCACTTATTTCCTCACCTTGTATTTTCCAGTTCTTGTTTGCACTCATGACCACAGAAGTGATTTTTCATTTTGTTTTAGGCACCAAATGTTGTCAGTGTTTCTGAAATTAGTCTAAAAGACAATGTATTGCATTCCAAAATACTTTTTTCCCAAAAAAATATTTTCTAAAAACATTTCTGTCACAAATACCATTTAATTCCTCTGTTTCACTTCAGAACATTGTAATTTCATCACTCTTTCCTTGCATGAAGTTCTAATCCCTTACGGCATTGCAGTACTTGTTGCATCAGTCTACTGTGATTATAAAGCTGAAGGATTTCTTAATTGTGTTGATTTTTTTCCCCCATTCTCTTCACCAAAATATTTCCATCTGATATCAGCAAAGTCGAGAAGTTCCCTTTATTTTTTCATGTTATTTAATGTTTTTGATAAGCTTTCTTTTTCCTGCTGCTATAGTTCTTTTGGAGCTTGGTTTAACCTTGCACTAACAGTAATCTTGGAATTCCAAAAACTCTGTCATTATTTGCATTTTGTGACTTTGATGGATTGTACTTTACAGTTTGAATCTTGACATTATTCTAGGTTACATCTGGGTTATTGTAGCAGTTAAGAAAAGGCAGTTTTCACACTTGCACATCTCCATCTTTTCTCCTGTTAAGAAACAGAAAAAAAGGAAAATTGAAAATGGATGGGATTGGAGAATTGTTTTCATTCTCTCTTCCTTCTCCAACCTTTTTCCATCTCACTCCTTCCTATAGGAAATTGTGGAACAGAAGTGAGAAAACAAGAAAGATGTCAAACCAACAAGCAAAAACAACGTTAGACATGCATCGTGCACAGAACTCTTATTTGGAAAACTCGTAATCTCAAAAGCTATCAACCTTCCCTTAGCGGGAAGAAAACAGCTTTTCTATCCATCTCCATTCAGACATGGTGAGGGGAAAAAAGCTTGCCTTCCCACAGAATGGGCCCAGGAGTGGATCTCTGGCCAATTAATTGTTTCATAATCTCTCAGGAAATTCTCTAGGTATCAAAGTATGCATGGGATTGTCCCATCCAAAATATAGTGCCCTAACTGAACAGCTTCATATTCTTCCTTGCACGTACCGTGGAGCTGTAAGTTTGTGTGAGGAGGAAAAAAAAAAAGCACCATTGTGGTTGACTCTGGGTTTCTCCTGCAGACCGTTTCTATGACTGTCAAGGAAGTCGGCTGTGCAGAGCCAGCGTTCTCCAGCAACACTTCCACCCCAGCCAACTGCACCTCGCCGTTGGAATCCCCAAGTGCGCAGTGCTCTGGGAACGTGAGAAGCAGAGCGAAGTTCTGCTTAACATTGAAGATCTATCTCTCCCTCTGACAGATTTCTTGACAGTATACTACATGTTCTAATCCTTTCATCTGCTCCACACCTTGAAGTGCAGGTTATGATTTGGCTCTGGACACTTGCATTGACAAGCTGTGTTTGGGCTCTGACTTGCTGTGCAGTCAGTATGTGTAATATAGAGAAAGATGTAGTTCTCAAAAGCTGAAATTGCATCCATAATTTTAGTAGGAAATGTTAAACTTTCAAAGGATGTTTGTTGAAGAAAAATAAATGTAACTTTACATTTTTTTTATTAGGTGAACGTTGAGCTGTGGAAAAATACTACATATGGTACAGGTGATCGTGTGCCTTGGTGCTGTAGAGAATTTGGAGAGTTGATCCAGTGTTGTCTCTGGCTCTGAGCTGCAAAATGTTCCAAAAGATGCAGTGATTGCTCAAGAAATAGTGGAAGCAAAATTCACAATAATATTGAAAACAATAACCAAGTCACTTGGAGCTATTTTAATAGCTCATAAAAAATCTATTTTGCTGCAGCCTACTTACTTGGTAATTGTGTAAGGAACAAAACTATTGTTTATTATTTGAGATCCTGGACAGTTGAACTGTTACTTGTGCTACTGTGGAAAGAGATTGCTAACAGGGGAAGATTCTCATAATAGTTGTGGTGTCATTTTAGAATGTGGTTGTCTCCTGTGGGATCAAGGGAATTGCCACATCTTATTGCAGAACACTTTATCAAAAATAACCTTTAAAAATGTTTAAGAAAAACTATCTCCTTGTGTTGATAAGAAGAAAAGAACTATTTTATTCCAGGTAGAAGTATTCAAAATGCATTATAAAATAGCTACTTTTATGTTACCATAATTCTTTCACACGCTACCTACTTTTTAAACTACACAACTGACTTGCACACCAGTGAAGATGTTTTGCTCTGTTCTTGTTTAGCACAGTGCAGTGATGTGCACTGAATGTAGATGTGGAACCCTTGCCATCCATGGACACAACTTGAATTTAACTAGTAAGACCAGAACAGGTAGAATTCCTTGTAGCTCTTTGCATCTGTCTACTGAACAGATGCGCAGAGAAGCAGGCAGGTTCAAACAAACTGGTCTTCATTAGAGACAGGAGGAATATGAGCTGTTAGAAAACCATGGGACCATCTTTCCTTAAAAAGGAGGATTGCTGAGAAGTGAAATGTAAGCTGCTTCTTGCTCGCAGTGTAAGGCTCTGACCCAGCTGGTTCAAATCCACATGGTATTCCTTAATTGATTTAATTGCTTTTGGATCATGTGTTAGAAGATTGTACACAAATGTGGAGAGTAAATATGGTTTAAATACTAGTCCTTATATTAATATAACTTTACATATGACTTGCAATAATTACTTCTAAATTCCTATAGAATCTTGAAGTAAAAGTTTCTAAGATATTATCTATATAGTAAGAACTGAAGGCTTTTTGGCTTTTGTATTAACAAAATATCATGTAAACTATCTTACTTTTATCTTTCATTTGTGAAAAGCATGCCCAAACCACATATGTGTGCATGCAACGTACGCAACAAATGGAAGAAAACCAGCTACCAAATCTGGAATGCAAAGAGCAATTGCCCTGGCTGAAGTGCAGACTTTTCACAGATGTTTGATTGTATACATGGGACAGACTTCATTTGAGATGAATAGAGAGTACATAAAATGCACACTTTCCCTCCCCCATCCCTCTTGTTTATCTGATTTTGCAGAAGGATTTTAATTAAGCCCACAGAACTGCAATAAACTGCAGGAACTGTAAACTTAATATCCAGAAACACTACAAATAGAAAAATTGCTACAGAGCTCTAAGGTTATGTTATTATTCTTCTGTGTCTATAAACACATCTGTTCAAAGCTACATGCAAACTTCTTTACTTTTCTTCTCTGCACAGCTGAAATGCATAAGGAGATATTTTTCCTGGAAAAAAAAAAAAAAAGAAGCAATGCCTACTTTAAGGAATTTGAGACTTAGATATTTAGATAGTGAAGAGTACTGCCCTCGCTCTCCAAACATCTCTAAAAATAGTACTTGTTTAACTACTTACGTTTACTTCTTTACAAGTTGAGAGAGACTATCTGATCTGATATTCTGTGTATATACTCGTTTATACATACTTGTGTACTTGTCCTTCTGCTAAGCAGATGTTGGTGTTGCAAAGATTAGGTTTCTATGGGAAGGCACATCAGTGAAGCAGAGTTTGGGGGTTTCATTCTATAGTATGTAATACCTACTAGGCTAGCAGCATGCCTGCAATGAGGTGACACAGCCCTCCTGATCTGCTTCTCCAGTTTGCTTGCCTGTTCACATCCATGGTTTAATGTGCTTTGTGCTCACAGACCACCTACTTGATGTGAACTGAATTCTGTTTACCTTATGTACAAAGAAAGGCAGGAGATGAGTTCTAGCTGACTAATTTATCCCCATGTTATTCTTGAAACAAGATGGTTTCCTTCTCCTCCCCATCCTCTTAGTTTCTCTCCTTATTTTACTGTAGCAGATAAATTGGGTTCAAGTTTTAGAAACAACAGCTATTATGAGGTCAGATTGTCCGTTTCTTAGAGGGCAGGGAGAGAAGAGGTATTTGTCCAGCTGCTACACAAGTGCATGTTGGAGGATTCACTGGCAGGGCTCAGCCCTGAGCCACATGGAGTCCAACTCTGGACTGGACTCTGCCTTTAGGGTAAGTTTTGTGTCCTCATCTCATCCATGTCCTGTATGTGGGCAGAGGGCAGGTTGGAGTTACACAAGGCTCTACACAACAAGATGAAAAAGTAGTAGGTGTGGAGGGACTGTGCCACCCGACATTGCCAGGGCACCTCAGCTGTTCCGTGTCATCCCAGGGAAAAGATTCTTCCTGCTATGTAATATGGTGTTTGTGTGAGGTATTCATAAGAAGACAGTACAGTCTTCTTTCTGACAGCCTACTTTGCAGCTCTGTGTAAAGCTGAATAAAGAGAAAAGGCAGGATTTTAACAACTCAATACAGCCTAACCTTTCTTAAGAGCCCCAGCTGAAATAAAAAGGAAATCTGTTTTGTACAAAAAGTGTTTGTCACTTGTGCTTAGTCGGACTCCATTGGATTGTTGCACGTTAGGCAGTTAAAGATTATACGTTCCTGATATAAAGCGCTGGAAGTATGGTCTGAATCTCTGGCACAGAAAATGTATTCATGTGTGTTAGGACTCCTAGTTACTGTGCTGGTAGAATTTCCAAGAACAAATGTAGCAATCTCTGGTTTGAGAATCTTTATCCAGGGGTGGGTGAGGGAATAGTGTTCATGAGTTATGTGGAATGTCTTGATATCTGGGCCCAAAACTACTCCCTTTTTCTAAAAAGGATAGTGTAAGATCTTGTTCACATTAAGCTCAAAGGTTTTTGGCTGTAAATACAACTTTTCAGAATAGAAGTGTGTTACAAAGCATCTGGTTAGTCCTGGCCATGACCATTTATGTAAAAAGGTGACTTGTGTGTATCCTTCCTGAACTGCTGCTATAGACATATGCCTCATCCTTAAAAACCTTTCTTTTTAGAATGTGAAGTTGAACACACATCCTTTTTCCACTGCCGTGTCTCTTTCTCTCTTTAATAACCTAATAATTCAGACAGTACACAGTGTTCAAATGTACTTTTATTCTTCTCAGCATAGAATGGAAAGCATGACTGTACCAGGGTTCACACCCTCCAGTGAGAGTGAAAGATGATGCAGACCTATTAACGCTTAAGAGGTACAGGGGAGGGGGCAACAACACTGTTTTGTTTCATGCTGTTCCTTGTGTGCTGAAAGTGTTTTGGGGACCGACCAATGTTTTAAGATTTGCCTGCAGATCAGTACGCAGGTTGCTTACGATCCAACTGTTTTCATGAATCAGAGGAAAAGCATCTAGGCATGTCCACTGCATAGGGAAGCAAGCCCATAGTTCAGCACTTACATCACCCATAAGCCTTTTATTTATCTTTTGTAAACAATTCTCTTCTGCTTCAAATTAATATCCTGATTGAATTGCTGGTATAAGTGTTAAACTATTTAACATCAAGTTGTCAGCAGATAGCGTGACAAAAAATGGTGATGGGAGCGCTCTTACCAGTGACTTGAATTTGAGAATCTCATCAGAGCCTTATCACACAGCCTGCATCTCTGGCTATTGGTCTCCAGGTCAGACATCCAGTGTGTGTTTGGGTATGGGTACTAAATCTTTACTTAGTGGCAGTTGTTTTCAGATAATTTTAAGTTCTACCAAGAGTCAGTAAATCAGACAAGTGGGTAATGTTGGGGATAAAAACTGTCTGGAAACAGCCTCTGTTTCAAAATGGAAATGAAAGTTTGGTTGGACTGTATGTGTGTGTCTGGTACAGGTTCAGTGGTGTGCACTGAGATGCAGGGGCAAGAAATTATGAGTGCAAATTGAGTAATAAATATTTGATTCCTGCATTCCTGGAAATACCGCTGGAGTATACCAAGCTGCTTACACCCTTGCCAAGGGAGAGCACAGCTACGTGCCTTATTTCACATTTCATCTCCTGACTTCTCAGATGCAGTTGTTGTCTGCCTTCATCTCCTTTGGGTTAAACCCTGTTCTGTTGGGAATAAGAGAAAAGAATTTTGGGCCTAATTCAGCAAAACGCATAAATACGTTTAACACTGTGTGTATTCTGAAGTGTTTTGCCAGGTGAAAAAGCATCTGACTTTCCTTCCAAGGCAGGGAAACAGTCAGTTCTTCAGCACACTTGTCTTCACCTGCAGCCTCCTATTTCTTTTGCACTGGATCACAGCTTTCCTGTGCATACGCTGGGTGAATTGGGTATTGCCGTTGATTGGGTGATAGTTGTCATGGCTGTGAACTTGTGTGCTAGCACTCTGAGACAATTATATTCAAGTCATAGAGAGAAAAGTAGTACTTTTCTAGAGTACACCACTGTTAATCAACTGCATAGGAATAATTTAGTTGAATAAATTATATTGCTGTAGATTTCATGCTGCTGCAAATGAGAAAAGATGCAGGCCCAGAAGATGTATTGAAGGTGACTTATGGGCAGAAATGCACCGCCTATATGGAGAGGGAAAAAACCCACAAATTGATAAGTGTAAAAAATGAAAACTCTAAAACAGTATTTTGGCTCAAAATCAATAATCCTCTGACGTGTATTGGCAAGAACAGCACTGAGGTGACAAAGAATCCAGAGTAAATCAAGCAAGCAGCATGAACTCCCCACTATCAATCCAAATGCAGGCCTTTTTCATTTCATGACCAAGCACTTGCATCACTATTCAAAGGGCTTATTCTTGTGTCATGGATGTTGCCTTAAGCAAATTAGCTCAGGGAACCCACACGGGAGGAAACAGAAAAAAAGAAAACCCATGGTTTTGTCAGAAGCTTTTGCCAAAGTCAATATTTATGGAGTCATAACGGCCCGGGAGGAGCCCGTGCTGTTTCAGTACCACAAGCAGTGCCATTGCTTCCACTGCGTTTTTTAGAGTTTTCACACCTCTGAATCAGCAAATAACTGCACAAAGGCAGCTCATGTGCCAGAGACTTGTCCAGACCATGTGTCTCACACTCACTGCCCAGACAGGTCAAAGCTCATGCTGGAGAGCAGTTTTCTCAGTGTCATCGTGATGCTCCCACAAACCGGAAGGTTCAGTTGCAGAGCTCCAATGCAGAGAGGAGTGTGGAAGTCTGTGATAAGTGAGGAGGAGCAGAGCAAGAGCCAGGGCTGGGTTCTGCCTGTTTCACCTCCACGGCACTTTCTGAGCTGGTTATCATGGCCACAGAGCTTTGCTAGAAGCTTCTAGCCATGCGATGCCTGCTGTGGTGAGCATTACTACATGGTTGTAATGCAAGCACATGTATTTATAATTTCCCTCCAATAGATCCCTGGTTTAGGAGCGTCTTGAGAGAGCTGGGGGTTGACAACCATTTTTCTACTCAGCATTTAATTGATCTCTGCTTCTCACTGATCAGAGAGGATGGTCTGAATCTTATTCTGAGATCTTCATAACTCTCTCTTTGCATACAGAGGAGCTGAAATATCTTAGACGTAGGCTAGTGGTGAGTGGTCATCTGTAGTTTCTAACATGAAAGATGCCAAAGTCCATGATTATTTCTATGGCCCAAGAACTGAATTCTAACAACTTCCACTTGTCACTGTCAGACTTGGGCCTGTGGGCACTGCTACCATCACAGTGGCTTGCTTGCTGGCTGCTTTGTTTCTGAACAGAGCCCTTTTTCTTCCCTTACTACAGGATGCCCAGTTGGTTGTGAATGGATTTCTCACCCAGCTCCAGCACTGTGGTCCAGATCTCCAGTTATGTCAGTAGCCCCATGGCTTTGCATAGCTATTCTCAGTGGTGGTTAGGTTTTAAAAGCAGTACAGATTTCCTAGCTCTCAAAGCAGATAGGCTCAGCTGGAGAATGCTGCCTGATGGCACAGAGGCTACAGCCAAAATTGTGCCAAGTCACTCTCCATTTGTAAATATTAGAATGTGCTGTAGTTAGAAATACAGCAGAAGAAAGGTTTAAATTGTATGGCTGAGAAACAACAAAAGAAAATAAATGTAAACCAGAAAACACAGCGCACACAAAGCTATGTGTGCTGTAGGTCTGTGGTCTTGCTCTTGCACAGTAAAGAAAATAAATACCAACAAGAACAGCCATTCAATTGTACAATTCTCTTGTTTTCTAAAAGGATGTTGTTGCGTCACCAGACCTGTATATTCTGATTGCGTTTCCTCCTATGAATAAATTGTTTTAAAAGGGACACTTTGCATGGGAAATGTGCAGATACATATCTGAGATGCTCATTGTAGTATTAGCTCAAAGGGAACAAAGATGGTCATTAGCTAAAGGCAGTGATTAAGAAAAAAATAGTAAGTCCACCTAAAGGGAGCTGTATTGGGGCATTTATGTGTAGCACAGTAGTAAAAACAGAGGTTGTGTTCTGTGCACCTGTATGTTGCCACACGTGGCCGGTGCTTATCCACAATGTGGAGAAGCCCTCTAGAGTGACTGCAGGGAGGCACCTGGTGCTGGGCAGGAAGCAGGAAGTCCTTTCTGTTAGTCAAGAAAGTCAGCTTGCTCTGCTGTGCTCCTGTGGAGCTTTCTTGAGGAGTTGGTGCTACCTCTGCCCAGTGAGTGCAGGTTCCTGGTGTCCCCTCACCAGTAAAGTGTCAAACGAGCATGTTCTCCCATTTCTGTAACATGACACACTAATTGAAAAGCTTTTCAACTTTTGTCTGTCTCCAGTGCTCTCAGGACTGACCTAGTGCTATGTAGGACACAGATGGGCACAAATAGAAGCTTTTCTGAACACAGCTTCTGGGTGTGAATTGCAAAATTATTGCTGCTGCTCAGCGTAGCAAATAACTGAGTTACTGTTTTTTTTCCTTTAGCGTCATGTATTAAATTCTGCTATTTAAAGGGACTTTGATCTAAGACTGAAGAGAAAACTTGTAAAACTCACTGCCTTTCTCCTAGACCACCAGGTAACTGTTTTCTCCATGTGTTCTTTTATTACAAGCATTATTTCTTCTTGTTTGGTTTTTTTCCTTTCCTATCTGTGGTGTCATGTCCCATCCCACACCCCGATCTCACTAGAATAGGTACATTCTGTGCCTTCACTGTGCCACTGACCCGTGCCAGACCCGTTGAAAATCTGACATTGTCTCCCATACACTGGGCAGCAGATTCCTAACTCTATGCCATGTTTGACACCTGCTCTGGCAAAGAGGAGGAAATGAAGCAGAAAGATCTCCTTGCAACGATTACTGGCTCACAGAGAAGTACTGAAACAAGTGATAATTAAAGAGAGGGAAATTCTAGCTTCCTGCTCTACTACAGTCTGATCTCCTTTCTCAGATTCCCTCCTTCTACATCCAAGTGGGGAAACTTTCTGCACACCGGTTCTCACCGGTGGTGTGAGATTCATCTTCATGACTAATGAGGTAGCTCATTAGGGCAGCTCAGTCCCACTGGGCAGAGAACCTTGTTCTACTCTATTGTCTGTTTGCCAGTCCTATCGTTTCATGCTGTAATCGAGTCTGAACGTTCAGAGTAGCACTGCTGTCTTGTTCCCAGGCTTCTGTAACCCAAAGAATTTTAGTGAAACCAACTGAGAAAGACTGCTATTCTTTCAGATGCAACTGGCCAAGAAACTGACTCGTAGGCAGTGAAGTTCTCCAGCTTTAGAGTGAAAATACCCTGATACTCATTGCATCCCAGACCTTTGCAGCTTGCTGGGTAAGTGGAGCTGGTGGCTGTCCTTATCTACTCACTGGGAGATGAGATGTGGCTCAACCACAAACTGAACAAATGAGCAGATAGAGTGATCCATGTCTTCACCCACACCTTTCTTTGCTCAGTGGTTTGGATTTCTCCTGTATCTTCCTCAAGCACAATACTTTCTAGTACATCTTGTGGTAACAAGTGAAAGCTTTAAGAAAGCATTTCCTTCAGAAATTACAATTTAAACTCTGTGAGTGCTGTTTTCTTCTAAGCATTCATGTTTTGCTCTCTGTTAGGAGTAATGATGTTGCCACCCACTTTATGTCCATCTCTAAGACAGGGACAGACATAGACTGAATACATTTTTCTTTTATTTTTTGTACATAGCCACATTTATTACGTAGAGTATGAAAGACTTCAGATAACACTGCAGTATAATGAGAAGGGGACTCCTCACTCTGCAATTGTTCAGAACAAATTTGGTGTCAGCTCTCCAATGCACAGATCTGTGTGGGAAGATCTGCTCCTCTCCTCCACAGCAGCCCAAGAACTTCCTCCTACATTGCTGAGAAAGCATTAGTGTGTGCCTCTGAGCTGTTCATTGGCAAAGGGAGGAAGCAGGGGGAAGAGATAATGCTCTGCATTAGCCCCTGGGAGGGAGCAGTCATTCTGAAAGCCAAACAGAAAACAAGAGATACTAGAGAAATGAGAGTAACGGCAGCATGAAGGAGGAAGGTGACGAGTGCATGTTCCTTGGAGTTTCGGAAGGGCTCCTCATGCTCTGTGCTTTCATGTACAAGGATTCTGAATGTCAGGCTTCAGCTCTCCTGAATGCTGTTAGCTCTAGCTGAACAGGCCTCTGGGGCTGCCAGTGTGTGGGCTCACTCTGCTCAGCTTCCTTCAGTGCAGAAATGAATCCACCACCCTTGAGGGCTACTGAAATAAGCTAGCTGATTTCTCACCGGTATGGATTAAGCAAACTTCTCCCGATACCATGAGTTAGGAACTCTCAAGCAGAGGAATCTGTCCGTGTGTGAATTAGTTCATTTATTAATACCTAAGCACTTAAGGCTTTGCTCCTGAAAAGAAACTCCTGGCCACAATTGTCTCTCCCAGAACAAACCGCAGCTGTGTAATAGGTGGAGCAGATGAAGCAGAACATCTAATCTGGTAAAGATCAGAACTGAAGTACTGTAATCTGCCAGAATTGCTCCTGCTCACACACTGCCTGGCTTAGCAGGTAGCAGTGATTGATGCACTGCATTCTGCCATAGGCAGAGCCGTGCAGCATCCGCTTCCTGCAGCCACCAGACAGGCTCCAGCCCCCCCTAAAAACAGGTATGGGCCTCCTACTACCCTGCATGGTGCTGCTCCGGGGGACTGGAGGAATGCTCTCTAGATTGAATCGCGCAGTTTCCAAACCCATTTACCTACTCCAGGTGAGACCTCGGTCCCAAGGTACCTAAGTGCCTCTATCTCAGCATCACAATGCTGCCTTTCTTTGCCCGTGGGAAAGCCCTGCAAAGCTTTAGCACACAGCTGCCTACAGCTGTCTGTTTACAGCCACAAAGCATCTGAAACTGCCGGGGAAGCCTTGCTGTAGCGAGCGCCTGCTGAGCATGCAGGGAAAGGAGGCTGTCCGCAGTAGATCTCTCACATAGCGCCTGTTGCTGCACGTGGGCTTGGAAATCGAGTAACTGCGTGTCTGTGTGCAGGGAACAGCAGTCAGCACTTCATCTTTCAGTGGTTGGGCTGCGTTCAGGTATAATTAAGTCCAAAATGTTGCCAAGAAAAAAACAACATATTTTGCTATGTTTTAAAGCAATTGGGTCAGGTGGTTGGGTCTGTTCCCGTAAGAATAATATATACGCCTAGTAAAAAGGCATTAAACTAAACGTTGCAATGAGCTATTGCCAGTACCGGTCTGGTTCGGAGGTTCAGAGCTCGTGCTGGATACTCATTGTATCATTCCATAACAGCACCCTGAGGGTTGTTATGTCCATACACTTATTACAAAGCAGGAACAGAGGGACAAATACGCATTTGTTTTCACTTGCAAACTCAGAAATTAGCAGAATAGATCCTTCTCGTGTGCGCTTCTAAGGGCTTTGCTTTTTGCAGTGCGAGGATCACGCTGGCTGCCACCTCAGTTCCAAATCTCAGACTTTTAGGCAAACACTGGCGCGAGCTTCAGCGTCAGCACCGCGCTGCGGGGAACCTCCTCGGGCCCGGACTGCCGCTGCCAGCCCAGCGGTACCGCGTGCGGCAGGTGCCCGCGGCGGCGGGAGCAGAAGCGGCCCCGGCGTCCAGGGGCTCCACCGCCCCCCGGCCATGGCCCGCCTCCCCCCCGGCACGTCCGCGCCCCGGCGCCGTCGGAAGGTGCCGTTCCCCGCCCCCCCCCGGGCCGCCGCCAACCTTCCTCCCCCCACCCCCCCCCCCCCCGCTCGGCCCCCCCGGCGGCCGCTTA